AGCGGCGTTGCGACGTGAGGCTTCTCCTGTCTGTCTGTAGAGAGCTTCATCCAGAGAGTCCTCCTGATCGGGGGGCCTGTCCCCCATTGCTGTTCTCCCTTTGACCCTGACCCACAAGCTCTCTGTTTCCTCATCACCTGTCCCCAGACGCAATTCCATACTCTCCAGCCCATCACTGACATAAATAGCAACTCCCCTCCCTGTCTGCCTGGCCTCTCTTTCCTAAAGAGCCTATGACCTTCCATTCCAACACTGCAGCCATAGGAGCCATCCCACCATGTTTCTGTGATGCCAATGACATCATATCGCTGTGGCTGAGCACACATCTCTGATTCCTCGTTTGTTCCCCATGTTACGGGTGTTTGTGGAGAGGCAGCTGAGCCGAGCTCCAAATAAAGCCAACTCATGGGCTGGAGCAGCCAAAATAGCTCTGCATCGCTCCAAGCACGTATTACAGGTGCTGGCAACTGACTGGGAGTGTTGGGATGAGCGATGCTTCTCTCCCCAGAACGTCTAGTTTAAAGCTTTCTTGACCAGCCTGGCAAGTCTCCTACCAAAGCAGCTCTTCCCCTTCTTTGTCAGACCAGCTCCACCAGCCTCCAGCAGCTGGGCTCCTTGAACCATCCTCTGAAACAGCTGCTGATGGTGTCTGCCAGGGAGCTCGGAGCTTGGCAGCTCCCCAGTGTCTCTGAAATTCCACCCAGACATCTGGTAATGAGACTATTTTTTTTTTAAAGACAGAAACAGAAAATAAGTTATTTTAGAATGTGGCTGACCAGAGATTGTTTTAAACACAGGAACCACCCTTTTGCAGGCGAGTGATTGCAGAAGGTCTGCTCCATTCATAGCATTTTTACAGCTGATTTCAAAAACCATTTCTCGTGTTTCAAGATGTGAATTTTGGCGTTGTCTGAAATTGGTTCAGTTGTTGCTGTCTGAAAGTCCTGCTTTCTCTCTGTTCTATCACCACCTAGTGCAGTCTGCTCTTGCACTCCCTTGCGTGGTGCAGTATTAAGCAGTCTGGAGCTGCTGAGGTTCTTTTCAGTGTTCAAGGACTTACAGTCATGCTCTTCCTTCTGTTTGCCAGCAGGTTTTAGGCTTTGTCTAACCTGTTCTGCTTTCACTAGAAAGCCCTTAATGTTCTCAGGCCTGAGAGCTGTCCCTCATTGTCGAACCTGAGGGGGTGAAAAGGCCCGTTTGACTTAGAATGCCTTTTTTCTCCTGTAGAACCAGCTGCTAAGTCATTCTGTTAGCTTCAATGGAGAAGGGGTGGAACCCCCCGCACCCGCCTTCAAAACCTCTGTGCGAGTGAGTGTCTCCGGGTTGGATTACCTGGAGCGGCCGGACTTGGTTCGCAGGGACAGCACCACCCTGGAGAATCGCCCTGTTCTTGCACTGAAGAATGAAGTGCCAATCCATCTCCTGAGTGCAACGAACCAGATACAGAAACCAGCTGCAGTCCAGCAGCAGATTCCTACCAAGCTGGCCACTTTTACAAAGGGAAGCAAAGAGAAAGGTGGGAAGAACAAAGCATCTCATAGGACAGACAGTTCAGGTAAGTGTATTTAAACGCAGTTCTGATCTCTGCCAGCATCCTCTCTGCAGCATAAACCTCTGGCTACTCATGTGGAACCCAGAAATTAATATGCTGCACATCGTTAGTGTCCTTACTGCAGTAAGTAGGATCTTAAAATCCTTAAGAGTTAAGAGCTACACATGTAAATCCTTGGGAGTTATGTGTGTATGCTATTGAAACTGGAAATGCAGCCCAATGGGGTAGTAATAAAATGGAGTTCTTGTAATCCAGCAGGGTAGAATGATGGTGAGAGGTTATAAACCTGAATGCAAAATCTTCTTTTTTAACTGTAGTGTTAAAGGAAAATAGCAAAAAATAAAAAAAGCTTGTTCTGCATGAGTGAAATGCTTTGAGGCTGGTTTAACCTTCCTCACTCTCTGTCCAGAGTTGTAATGCCACTGAATGCAGTGCCTGTCTTAGTGTCCGACAGCCGTTAAATACAGATTTCCAGGCCAGAACTGAGATCCTATGCGTGTTGTAGAGTTGAAAGGGGCTAATTTTGTCACAAATAGAAGCAAGCAAAAATCCAGTCACCGTGTCATAGTGAGTTTTCTGCAGCTAACTGCTAGGTACTAAAGCAGAGATCGTTGCCAATGACAGACGCAGTAAAAACCACTTCTTCTCTACCAGTTAAAATAGCCTTACTGCCAGCCTAGGAGAATGACCTGTAATTTTAGGTTAAAAAATGATCTTTTTAGCTTCGTGTAGAATTCAGACTTGGCAGGCTTGCACTCGGGCCTACACTACTAAAGTGACTCAGGGCCAAACCTGTCCAGGGAGGGGAAGGGGAAAGTCATTTGTACGTTGTAGAAACATCTGTGTCTGTCCTGCCTAGAGTTTAGTACCATTGCAAACTTGCTCATGTTTTTGCACATAAATGAAGCTAATAACCTCTTACCCTGAATACCAGATGCTGGTAAATGGGAAAATAAAGCTCTAATACCACATTGCCCTGAGTTTATTTTTGATAGCTCTTACCTAATGATCTCTGCAGTGGAAATGCACTTAATGGTGTTTTTCTGTAATTTATATGAAAGGTATAAAACACAAATACATTGGTCTCTGCTGTCTCATGAGCATTAGTGGGATGCATGTTTGTTATGCCCATATGTAGATCTTAGGATAAAATGGAACAAGACTTTCTGTACCAGAGACAAAATAGTGTGTATTGAATTTGGGTTTTGTGACGTGTGGGGAATGTGTACTGAGAAGAGGGGTTCTTTGGATCCAGAGTAACTGTTCCATGAATTGCTTTTATTGTTGAAATTAAGAAACTGAGAGGCCATAATGCCAGAATCAATGTACTCTGCTGCTGAGCAGCTGTGAGACAGATGGGGAGCAGAGACAACAGTTCATCACACTTCTGCATGTTAAAAGTAGCACAGATAGCCGTTGTAATTTGCATGCTAGGGACAAAGGGGGTTTTTCTTCTGCTGTGCTTTTTAATACTAGGTTTTAAATCTGTGGGTGTCAGGGGTTGTTAGTAACTGAATTACAAGTCCTCAAGCAAGAGGAGAGAAAAAATGTTCGTTGTCTAAAGAGCTAAAGAGAAAAATGTAAGTAACTTGCGACAGAAGCACCAACTCTTCCTGACAGAGCAGCTTCCTTGGCTGCGTGAAGGTGTCAGGACCCTGGGCCCCAGCGTGGACTGTGGAACTTGTGAGGTGCTGCCAGCCTCAGATGCTAATCTGTAAAATGTTTTCTTTAGCATCCATTGATCAGAAGCAGCTGCTCCCCCCCAGGCTCATTGGGCGAGATGAGGGTGTCCTGAGAGGCAGACGGTCAGCAAGTCCGGTCCTCCTGAGCAGCCAGACCACTGCATTCCAGCCAGGTATGTCCTGACCAGCTTGCTTGTCCATGCAGTGCATCAGGCTCTCTGGGCAGTGTCATGGCTATGTCTTCTTCCCCTTTTCCCTGCAGAATTGTACGGCCCTACAGATGCTCAGCCAGAAGCACCTTCCTCTGCCTCAGCGAACCTGTTCAAGCCCAATAACGTTCCTGTTCAGACCCTGGTCACCTCTCAGCCGAGTCTGTTAAACGTGCAAGATGATACCAGCAAAGAAGATGTAATTTTCTTCTAATTGTTTCCATTTAAAGATTGATCTTCTGACATAACTGTTTCAAGAACTCAGGCCCCAGCGTGCACCGTGACAGAGACCTGACATGGATGTCTTTTCATCCCTACCCCGTTACTACTAGCAAGGACCAGACCAGGATGACTGTTCTACTTCGTTGGCTTCTCTGCCAGCAGCTCAGAATGAGGGCACAGTAGTAATAATTTGCTTTTAAATTCTCCAGATATGGGAATGTGTTGACACATGGCATGGGTATATCAATTTCAGAGCCTATTCAAATACTGACATGTATTGTAACGTGCTCTTTTGGAGAATGTACACTCTTTGTGGGCACCACCTTGTAAATTGTTAGAGTTGATCTTGAACCACCCAGGTTTTTATGTAAAACGTTTTAGTTGTTGGCCCCAAAATGGCTGCCAGTTTTTAACTGTGTTTTCACAGGTACATGGTCAGTAACGGGTTGTGGTTAATGGTGTGTTGGTGACTGGTTGACCAGCCAAGCCAGCCTCCTTGCAGCCAGGCATGACCCACAGCGCGATCCCACGCCCAGGAGGCAGATTAGCCTGTTTGTTCCTTTAGTGCATTCAGTGGAGCACATGCTCAGTGGCCAGGTACAGTGGAGGAGAGAAGGTAAGCTTCTTAACAGAGTCTTCAAGGTCAGGAGCTCCACCTGCTTGTGGATGAGAAGGGTTGGATGTGTGAGAATGTACAACAGTAATGAAGAGCTGGACTAAATGCACATTTCACTGGCCATGAGCTTGCTTTGGGGTACCTGTCTCCTTGGAGACACTGGGAGAGAGCAGCACAGGTTCCCAAGCAAAAGTCCTGAGCTGGTTCCGAATGAACTTAGAGACTTGGATTTTGTTCTTTGCTGAAGATATGGACAAGAAGTGGTCGAATGCAGTAATTTATTGTCGTGTTTAATCCTGAGGTTTCTGCATCTTTTGTTTGTCTGTTGACTTGTTGGGACTTTACTCCAAGTACTAGAAGATATCAAAGCTGCTGTTACTGCAGAGGCTTCTCTGCAGCCCTGTGTCAGGAATGAAGGCAATAAGAATGGTTTGGCTTTAAAATTAAAAGTATCTATACAGAAAAAAAAAAAATAAAAAAAGAGAAAAAAATTAAAAACACAGAAAGCAACTCTCAGCTAAACCTGTGTTGGTTTAGCTGCTTCCAGCTAAACCAGCTTTGATACCTCTTGTTAAATGGGTCAGTTCTTAATCATGGAAGTTCTTAATCATGGTGAGGACATTGTGTTCTGCTCAGAAGGCATTTCACTTCCCTTTGTAGTAATTTGCACAGTCATTTTGTTGTGTTTTACTTCACTCTGTATCTCAGTTCTTCATTACACGCATCACCTAAGGATGTGTATTCCAGTATATGTTGGATGTGACTGCTCAGATATATTGTGCACAGCAGAGATTGTTTAGTGGGTAAGGTTACAGAACTAAAGAAATGGGTACCTCAGAGCTTAAAAACTTGGGTTAATACTTTTCAGAACACAATTGATAATGGGGTTTGTCCTGTGTTGAATGCTGGTTTAAAGTGGTTTTCAGCAGCAGTGGATGGAATGCTGGTCAGTTCTCCATCCTGTGGAATGGCAATTGTCAGTCTCCTCAAATCATTGATGCTGTCTCCGTTGTGATGTTAATAATGTTCTTTAAGGCTGTAACTTCCTTTTGTTTGAGAGTTTAAAAATGATTTCAGTAGCAACAGGGCAATAACACTGTACATTTTCAGCAGAAAAACAGTTTCTTTTCAAGTGATGATAATTTTGGTGGTTGTCTTCAGGAAAGAAATTGAAAAATCCAGATTTACCAGTTGGTGTGAGAGGAGAAAGAGAAGCAGCAAAGTACTGACTCGGTCTTAGGGAACAAGCACTCCCTGCTGTAACACTTCTTGGGCTTAGGGGTCTTTTTCTTTGCTGAGTGATACTGGTATAAATGTGAAGCAGTGACAGAGTTCAGTGAGAGGAAACTCCAAACCACCTGACTTGTTACCAGGCTGGTGATGCTCCCCAACAAGTTATTACTCTTCACTGTAATACCAAAGGGAAATCCTCAGCATTGTAGGATTGACACTGACTCTCTGGCTGGATTTGCAGCAAACAGGATGGGGAACGTTGTGATTTTTGCATTGCTGTGATATGATGTTGATGATGGTTAGAACATAGTTCTACCCTATATGCATTTCTTGCATTTATAGAATCATAGAATCAACTGGGTTGGAAAAAGACCTTGAAGATTATCAAGTCCAACCAGTAAAAGTCCATTCCTAAAAGCTAAGTTGGAATGGAGGGGAATTCTTCCTAAAATTAATGTAACTTCTTCTCGAGCATGAGATCCAGCAGCTCTATATAGTCTGTATATAGGACTGACTTCTCAAGCAGCTGATGTGGAGGCTCCAGGCACCTCTGATCCCACCTCATTTCTCCTGTAAACATGCAGCAAAGAATGTGCAGATTGTTCACTCCTTTGTGCTGTGGTTTGGGCCACTCCTAGTGAAAACTCAGTGCCCCCATTGCCTTAAATGACCAGGTTTTTAGGAGTTTTAGCCTAAAGCTGAGTTGCAGCAGTGGAATAAACCACCTCAACCAAAGAGGGATGTCACCGTTTGGGTATTTGAAAATAAGTTTTGGAAACGTTTATTTAGTGTAATTTCTGCCTGTCCTAAAGTTTGGGAGAGAGTGGTCTGTGGACTGAAGGGGCTGTTTGGCTCCTCTCTCCTGCGCAGTGAGTGGTCAGATCCTGAACAGTGATACGTAGACAATAAAGTCTGCAGTGAGGGCTCATTTAATGTTTTAACATAAACATAACTCTTCCAGTGCTCACTGTCAGCAGTGCTTCAAATGAGTTATGGACCCAGGACTGTTACAGGTTCAGCACCCCAGAAGCTCCTTGGAATGTGGGTCTGAGGAATTACCTTAAAAGTCATCTGTCCTCAACACACATGGCTGGCTGCAGCTGGCTTCAGGAGAACTGTTTTCACCCTGGGCAGAGGCTGCATCTTCTTTCACTTGGGTCAAAGTCATTGAGGTGCCATAGCAGGTATGCATCTGGCTTCCACTCGGAACCATACCTAGCCTGGAGAAGGCTTTAGAATTAGCAAATGCTGTGATATGTCATTGATGCTGTGATATCAAATTGCTAGTGCAGAGCTTGCCCTAGCAGAGTGTGGCAAAATTATTTGTCAAAAGGCTGATGGAAACAAGTGAAGGATTTTCTTTAAATGCATAATGGGTCATCTCTTCTGCAGAACTGCGTTGGTGAAGTTGTTACCGAACCGCTGCAGATGAGTGAACCACTTCTGGACTCTTGTCTTCAAATCTCATTCCTAGGAAAATAACTCTTCTAGGCAAATCAGTTTGCAAAATACTGCTGTGTCCTGAGCTAAGTAACCTGCTACTGACTCTGAGTCATGTCCTTCCCATCTGGCTTTTTGATTACTCCAGATAAAAATTTCCTTTCAAGTGATATCTGAGGATTAGACAGTTCCAAGATTCTGTGCCTCCCAGGTGCCTTTTGGCTTCTTGCTGAGCTGGGGTGTGGAGGAAGTGACTGCACGAGCTTTGAACTGCTGCCGCCTTTGCTTTGTGTCACAGCCTTCAAACTCTGCTCCTGTTTGTCATTTAACGTGGTAATGTTGCAATGTAGAGGCTGCTTCTGTGGTTCTGATTTTCAATTCTCACTCTGGCCCGAAGGAGGCTTCCTCTTTCACTTCCCATCTTGGAATATGGGCATTGTGGATTTCAGGCTGAGGATCCCTCCATGCTCACTGTGTGTGTATTGTAAACGCTTTCCTAGTTTTGCCCTGTGCTCTCTGTGGATTGTAGTTGTGGCATGTCCCACAGATTGAGATCACTAATTATTGCCCAGTGTGAGGCAGAAGAATCAGTGTTTCGCGTGATGCTTGCTCACAAGGTAGTAGCCTTCCTGCAGATAGGAGTCATTCCAAACAATTTGCGGACAGTTTTGTCGTTCTGAGTAGTAGATGATCCTGCATCCATGGAACTTGGTGTTTGTCATTTGCATTTACAATGAGAGTTGAAACTTAAGCTAGGAAAGGGTTAAAAATCCATCTTCTGTTTCACTTCTGCTTTCAACTCCGCAGAATAGGAGCCGAGGCTCCGCGGTGCTGCTCAGTGGAGTCCCTGTGTGTTGTGCCCCTGTGCAAGGAAATTTGGAGCATTTTGTTGTCTTCCCCAGCACTTCTTGCATTTACAGGAAAAACAAACAGGTCACACACGTGCTACCCATGCCTGACCTTGCTGAAGAGGTGAAAGAAAAGCCTTTTCCCTGCTCTCTCTGTCGAGGCCAGACCCACCATCTTTGTACCCACTGGTGGCTCTCTCATCTCCCATCAGCCTGTTGGTCATCAAATGATGCTCTGGTTCAGACCATTCGTGCCATGTTTATAAATCAGTTTTTTTATATTTTTGTACTGAAAGCAATTGGAGCACTTTAGGAAAGTTTCTTTCAAATTCCATTTCTCTCTGTACCTGGAAGGAAATCTCTCATGTAAGCAGATCCTCTCAGCATACCTGCATCTCACTCGGAGCTGTGAACTCTTGATGCTCTTTAGTCTTAGGTCCGGTTTCTAGGCCCACCTTGCACTGTAAAGACTTACTAACTAATCATGGTCCGTGGTTAAATTGACCGTGTTGTTGGGGAAGTGTTTGGTTTTGGTTTTTTGTTAGGGTATCAACAGTGTCAATAACTCCTTTCCTGTTGATACTGCAGCAGCCACATCTTTGTAGTCTTTCTTTTCTTTGTAAAGTCGATGGTTCAGTGTTACCATTCTGTTGAATTGTGCACTCATCATTACTTGTAAACTTGATCTTAGCACACCAAATGATGATTTTTACAATGATTGCAATGTTTCTCCACTGAAGGATTTCAGAGCTGCAATAGGACTGAAACCAACTTCTAGCAATAAAAAAAAGAACATTTAAAACTGACTGCCCCTCTCTCTGTATATTTATCCTTATTACATTTGAACCAAGGACCAGAGCAGCAGCCACTTCTCATGTGCTTCTCATTTTCTACCCTGGACAGAAATAAGGTGCCGTGTGAACAAAACTCGTGATGGTTTTCCAGAGGAGAGGAGGGAGCACGGGAGGTGTTAAGTGGAGGATATGAATAGCTGTGGCCCTTGCCAGTGAGGTAAGCTCCCTTGGGAAA